GTTGGGTACCTAGCCCAAGCTTTTAAAATGATAAACATTTGCCATGAAGTCTGGCCAAGACTTGAGCAATTAATTTTGAGATGAAACTGAAAATGGATTAGGTGATTCGGGTTCAGGGAAAATGGAGGGTAGGGCAGGGCAGGGCAGGCAGGGTAGGAAGGGCAGTCAAACAGGCAGGCAGGTAAAGGCGGCAGGATCAGGATGAAGGCATTTTGCTTCTTTGTATCCGGGACACCCCCAGCCCTCAAATTCGCTGCTATGCAAAGCCTCAGTGCTTAGCACTGCTCCCAGGCACTCAGACAAATCCAAACTGGAGTTGTTCCTCAATCTTAGTATCATCTCTGTTCTGAACTGAAAGTGGGCCAGCCTAGGCTATCTGACCTCTGCGTTTAGGTCAGAAGAAGGGATGGCTCTGGCTCTTATGCAGCACTTGCCCACTCCCTGAGCATGTGTTCTCTTCTTTTTGGTTGGATTCTCTCATCCTACAGGGCCCTTACAGGGAATTGGATGACATCTTGGGGGTGGAGGGGTGTTTTCCGCTTTCTCTCTCTCTCTCTCTCTCTCTCTCTCTTCTCTCTCTCTCTCTCTCTCTCTCTCTCACACACACACACACACACACACACACACCAGCCCCCACGTTTACAGAAAGTGTCACAAGCTGAATGAAGAACCAGACAGGGTTGTTCTTTCTGAACCCCTTAAACAACCTGCCTCCTCAGTACATGGGCTAACTTTGCCTCATTAAATGCCAGATCTGAACTTAGAACGTAGAATATCAGAGCTGGAAGGGTCTTAGAAGTCATCTAATCCAATCCACTCATTTTTACAGAGGTGAAAACTAGGCCTTTCTTGCCAGCAGGAACCAATAATAAAAGAAACTTGCTTCTTGGATGCTGTGACTCTGAGTAAACCATTCATTTCCCTCCTCTGTGCCTCGGATATATCTGTGCCTTCTCTCTAACATGAGGACAATGATCCCAGCACCATCTACCTCTCAGAGAAGTTGTTTGGGAAAAATAGCTTTGTTCTCTAAGTGCTATACATATGAAAGATGTTGGCATAGTTGCTGTCTTATGATTTCGTACATCACCATGGCTATCACCACCACCATCAGACTACTCTTTTTTACCACTGCTGGGCTGGTGGAGCTGGGATGGAAGGTGACAGTGTCCTATCTCAACGTAGCATCTAACCTGCCAGGACTGTTCCTGTCTCAGTTCTTGCCACCACTGACTCACCTTTCTTGTAGAAAATCAGAGTTGCTTATCTTCCTCAAAACTCTCCCCAACAAAAGTGGAGGTCATTATTCTACCCAACCCTTACCTAGGAAGATGACAATCTCCAAATGGAAGACAGGGAAAATGATTTTCAAGAAGATGCCTCACTCTACGATCAAATTATCCATCCACTGCAGGATTCCAAGCCCCTCGGGTAAGGCTGAGTTAGGCTCTCAATTTCAGAGGTGGAATGGACCTTAGATTTCTCAACCCATCCATTCATTTTACAGATAATGAAACTGGTGTCTGCGGAAGGGAAACAATTTGCCCAAGCGTGTGTGTCGGCAGAGCCCAGTGCCAAACCGAAAGTCCACTACTCTCCCCACTATTCCAGAGCCCTTCTTGAAGAGCAAGGCATTCATTCCACTGGGCTCCCGGGTCGTCGAAGCCCAAGAGCCCGGGACGTGAGTATCTAAAGTGCACCTAATCCCAGTACTAATTGGGTTTTAGTGGACTGTTCAGATTATATTGGGTTAGTCATGGTAGACGAGCAGCCCAGGGCCTCGGTTTAGGAAGAAAAGGAGGAAACTCAGCCAGCTTTGTGACCACAGCACCCTCCAGGCCCCGAGGATTTCCGGGAAGTTTTAGAAGTAGAGATGTGTTAGAGAGAGACAGACAGAGAGAGAGCAAGAGAGAGAGAGAGAGAGAGAGAGAGAGAGAGAGAGAGAGAGAGAGAGAGAGAGAGAGAGAGAGAGAGCCAGCGAGAGAGCGCAATAATTAGAGACCCACCTTTACAAAGGATTATGAAATGGGGAGGTGCGCGCGCGTGCGCGTGTGTCTACATGTGTGTGTTTTAAGTGCATCTCTAAAACGTTTTAATGACAGTATTCCGGCTGTTCCGAGTGGTGATAAATGTATTCAGTTCTCAGGAGGGCCTAGGGGCATTGTGCATTAGGGTCCGTGATGAAGTCTTCTCTGAGTAAGGCCTGACACCTCCCTCTAATAAAATATAATACTCAATTAACTAGGGCTTCCCGAAAGGTTTTCATTTAAACAAGTTAATAATGGGCGCCAGGCGAACGCCGTGCTCGCGGCTCAGGAAGTAGCTTAGCGAGGCAGGGCTGAAAGCCCAGTATCCCTGGTGGGGAGTGGGTATGGCAGGGAGTCAATCACAGTAACAACTCTCATTTGCCGTAGCGCTTTACGGTTCGCAAATCGCTTTCCTTCCTCTCTAGAGTCCTGAGAAAGAGGTGGTGCAAAGTGCAAATAGCAATGTACCCATTTTACAACCTACAAAACTGAGGTACGAAGTCGGGAGGTAGTTTGCCCAACCACACGGCAGCTAGCCTCAAAATGAGAACTTGAATCCGAAGCCTTCTGACTCCAACATCTAGGAACTGGCAAAGAGACAGGGAAAATTGAAAGGGGATAGTGCTTGGGAAGGGCATTTGTAGGGCAGGAGGAGAGAAAATATTTCCTCTTGAAGAAGCTCGGTCATCAGGCAGTTGAAAAGTCCCTGTTTCCAAGATCAGGATAAAGATAGCCACTCACCACTCTGATTAATGGGGCAACTTTGAAAACTGAGTTACTTAGAACTGCATGACAACACCCGTATTCTTCCCCCTTTGATTTTTTTTTTAAGTACTGTGGGACAAAGGTGTATATATGTAGAGTTTGTAAGGGAAAGCTGGAATTCTTTGAGCCTCCCTAAGACAATTCTTGAACTCTCCACTGCTTAAAATAATAATATAATATGCATCTGATCGAATCTACGTGTGAATTGTGTACTTCTCTGTAAGCTGAATATCGAAGTCTGAGTATTTGGGGAAAGCACTTTCCAGATTTTATTGAATTGTAGACAACGAAATCGTGGGAAATCAAATTCAAAAAGGTCTTTTTTTTGTAATCTAGTAGTGAAAAATATTTTGGGGAACATAGCTGAATCTGCTGGGAGTGGACCCCAGTTGGAACCCGTCCTTCTATCATTAAACCATGTGACCTTGAGGGGTGCCACTGGACCATGTCCTGCTCTGCAAAATTATTCTCAGGCTCCTCTCAAGGTCCCGGGCAGCCAGATACTACTTTATTCTCCCATTTCGTGAGACAGTTTTATCTTTTTCTGGGAAATCAAGAAATGGAAAGAAGAAAAACAAAACAAAACAAACCCAGCCTGTTTTGCCCAATCCATTCCAGGGGAGCTTGAACCCCAATTGGCCCAAGTTCTCCTGCCTCAGTCCAAGGAAAGTGAGATTTGAACATCTAAAGGGAAATGTTCTCTTTTATTTGCCGGCAATATTAAGGTCTTTTTAACCCATTGGAAAATAGACCTCTGACCCCCGCCTGACTTCAGAAAAAAGATTTTCCAAAAACTTGTCAGATGCAGTAAACTTCCCCATAAGGCCACCACCTCACCACACCCATCATTAACTAATCTTTCACTAATGTCTTTATAGTATTGTAAAAACTCCTGCATACTACCTTCCTATTCTTTCACACCCAGTAATTCCAGATGCCCAGAGAAGAATTTAAAAAGAGCCACTGGGCCAATCCAGAGCATTGCAATGCTGGCTTTCTTTCCAGCTGTCCGATCTGGACCTTTCTCTGTGAATATTAAATATCGCTTCACAGTGAAATTTCCAAAAACAACAAAGAAACCCAATAGAGCCATTTCTTCACTGCCCACTCCCCGTGACCTATCCAACTGAATGGATTTGTGGATATTCTAACTCTCCCCCAAGAGAATAGAGACCCCTTAAAGAAAAGTGAGCTCTGACAACCCCTGGCAATTAAACAAGATTTTAATTTAATTCCAAATAAAAGAGATAAGAAATAATAACTCTCCAATAAAATATATAAAATTGTACAAGCCATCCCTTTCAAAGGGACTGGGGTATGCTGGGAGAGGGACCTGGGATGGGTGAGGTGGAAGTAGTCAGGCTGACAGCATTATTTTTTAGCAGAACAAGATTTGCTGGTGGGTAACCCACATGCACACACCAAACCAAACACAATGTTGAGAATATGTTCTGCCTTCTGATCTGCATTCTCTCTAGTAACTTACCTATTAAGATCAGCACAAATATACATACACACATAAAAAGCATATGATTCTTGTCTTTTTCCTCCCTTTTCGGATCTATTACTGTTCAAGCATACTTACTATACAGGGATTGTCTACAAGATACTTTAAAACACAAATGTCTACAATGAATAGTTTTTAAAAATCACCTGTGCTTTGGTTATGTCTCTCTCTTTTTAAAGACCACTTTACCAAAACCCTTTGTTTCCCGCCTTACACACTCAACTCTCCAAATCCAGCCTTCTATACAGTTATGGAAAGTGATGGCTTTGAGGTGGAATTATAAAGTACCTGATCCCCACCTCAAAACCTCGAATTTTTTCTCACAGCCTTTAATGTTTCTAATTCATGTGGGAAACATTTCTATTATTGAATGATTTTGGGGTGGGGGTGGGGAGAAGACAAGGGGAGAAAATAGAATCACAGGAAAAGCCATTACATATTTTTTCTTTGCTTATGTAATGTGGGAAAATGATGAAAACTAAAGAATCTATTCAAATCTATTTTTTATCTACATTGTCTGGGAGGCAGCCAGGCATACTGGAAAATAGCATTGGACCCCAGCCTGGAAATCTGCTTCTAATCCTAGCTCTGTCACTTACTAGTTAGCCATATGACCTTGGGCAAATAATTTCTCCTCTCTGAACCTCATCTATAAAATAGGTGTAAATACTTTCATCACCTACCTCATAGGGTTGCTGTGACACTTTGTAAACCATAAAGCACTATAGAAATGAGAGCTATTATAAAAATAAACTCCATCATATTTTTAAAACCTCCCCAAATTATATCTCGCAAGATTCCTTTTAAAAGTATCTTATCCTTTATAAAAACATATTCCTTCCCCCCCAAAAAAAACCCCCCATATTATTTTGTTGGAGGTCTCCTTCAGGAAAATAATACACTGAATATACATACATATACATTACATATATAATTTTTCCTTTCAAAATACTTTGACTTTTCATGTCTGTAGTATAAAAATGTATTATACTTTATTATATATATATATATATATATATATAAAAAGCCTTCAGGATCAGTCTTTGTGAAAAAGGAGGGCATGTCATCAGGTGATGCTGACAAATAGGGTTTGGTGTCCCAGACTAAAGAGCAAGAAGAGATCTGGTCTGGCCTGTGAACACCTAAGTGGTTGGCATGGTGCTCTTAAAATACGCAGCAAAAGGAAAAAGTGATCCAGGACTGGTTGGGTACTGTACTCTCGGATGAGGAAAGAAAAAAAAATTAAAAGAAACACATCCATCATGAAGTCTATTTAACTATTCCTTTGCTGGGAGATCTTCCTTAAGATAAATGATACATGCTATATCCAACAGGAGTAGCATAAGTCCCACAGGTGGGATGGGGAGCACAGGTCTGTGAAAAGGATAGGATGTTCCATATATGGAAGCTGCTTGGAGGGGAGAATTGATGGGGAAAGGGAGGCTGAAGCCAGAGGGTAACATAGGTTTGGCTGCCATTTTCAGCTTTTCCAGTTCTGCTTCCTGCAGTCTCTTGGCCTTGGCCCTGCGGTTCTGGAACCAGATTTTGACCTGTGTCTCTGTGAGGTTCAGGGAGCTGGAAAACTCAGCCCTTTCAGCGATGGAGAGGTACTGTTTCTGGCGGAATTTTCGTTCTAGGGCCAGAAGTTGGGAGGTGGTAAAAGGAGTCCTGGGCTTCCGATTTGTCTTGTGCTTCCGAAGGGTACAGGTCGTAGGACTCAAGTGTCCTATGAGAATAGAAAAGGGAAGATGTTAGGAAAGAAAATTGTGCTTCTTTCTCTCTGTCTATTCCTGGTTCCCAACCTCTTTTGGACTGAATAGGAACTTAGTTTCTGGGAAACGAGAGTTATATGAGAATTGAGGAGCAGATTTATGATGGGCTGTTATTACAGTCGTTATTATCCCAGATACATGGCACGTTAATCATATCCTAAGGCACATACAGATGCCATAAACAAGTGCATGTTCCTTATTATTTTCTGTCTGCAGATGATAAAAATCAAACATTCCCTTTCCCAGCTATTTCTGAGGGACAGCTTTCTTGGCTTGGCACGTCTGTAAGGCAAACTTGACTGAGAAAGTGGGCAGTGGGGTAGGGGGGGAAATTAGCTCTCTCATAAATGTAAAATGTCCAGAAGAATCATGCCACTTCAGAATTAAGAACATGTGTTATCTTAGTCATATCCTAGATATATTCTCTGGTTTGGTGCAAATGTGTCAATGCCACAGGGATGGGGAAGACAGAATTATGATGAAAATAAAGGTGTGTCAACAACGTTTAGGCTCCATGTTCAAAATGGAACCATTATGAGGAAGTCATAAGACTGGGGCATCCCGGGTGATCCCATCAACTGCCGTCTGGGCTCATTTGCCAGGAAGCCACAGGGGAAGAAGGGAAGGGGGTTGGGGGAGATACTTGGCAATTAGTTTTCAGCATTTGGCTTTTATGAGGTATGCTAATTTTCAAATATGTAGCTGTAGCAGCTAAACCCAATACACATGTAGAGAATGTGGCATTTCTTGTTCAGTTGGTTTGGTCCTAGAAACACAGTTTAAATTGCAGGCTAAGGGCATAGGGCACCATCTGTCTCTTCCTCCACTGGATCTGTTATAGGGTAAGGAAGGGCCTGGTTTCTGGAAGGTAGGGCCAAGTGCTAGCAAGTCCCATCAAAGCTGGGAATAGCTTCAAGTATGACCCAGCAATGGATGGTATATCTGTCATGCAAAGACTATGGCAGGATTCATATCTGGAAGCCAAGCCACCAGGGAATGTTTTCAGTCACAACTATTTTATGTGGTTTTCTCTTCATATCCACAGAGTAAGCAGGAGGGATCAGGGTGAGTTAAGGACTGAACTGAAGATATGGACCATATTAACTATCACTGTTCAATGGAAAGTGGTTGAATTGGCAGTGTTATCACTGCCAGTGCTCCCTACAGGGATACAGATTACAAACCATCCATGAAGTGATTAAAACACATTTGAGCACATACACGTTCTCTACCCAATCATAAATTAGAAACCTGCTGTAGACCCTACTCTCTCAAAGCAGAGACAGATAAAGGGAAGTGGAGTGGATCTGCAGTCAAAGGACCAGGGCTGAAATCTTTGCTCTTTACTCATTACCAGGATGCCCTCAGGCAAGTCATTTCACCATTTCAGGCCTCAGTCTACTACTTCTCAGTTTATTCTTCTAGAAAATGAGGGCATTAGATTAGATTTCCTTTTCTGCTCTAGGTCCTACCAGATTCCTTCTACCTTCTGTGGTTATATGTTATTAAATTTCAAAGTAATTTGGTAGAGACCATTAGGACTCCAGTTAAATGGAAGAAAATAAAATAAGAAACAAAAACAAAAACCAAGTTACCAGTTCTCAAGTATGTGTCAAAACAGCAGCTAGCACACTATTAAGCATCCCTCTCCCCCGTACACTTTTTGCTTTCAATTCACAGACAGAGGAAGGCTATTTGATCATACAAGACAAAACAATATTTATCTTACTTCCTAGGCCACTACCAAATAATACAATGAAGCTTCCACTTGTTACAAGGCTCAGGTAACCAATGGCATTCCTTGACAATGATTTGTCCCCGTGCTTTTGCCAAGGCCTTATTTGAATTCATCAGCTTACAAGTTTTTGTCATTGTTTATTTTAAAATTCAATGAATTCTTGCAACTCTGTGAGTTCTAGAGGTCCTCATAGGGATCCCTTGGGGACTGTTGAGACAGAGGTTGGAATGTATCAAAGTATGCTTTTTGTCCTGCCTCCTACCAGGGAGGGCATTGAGGGGGTTCAAGGGCTCCTACTGAAGAGAAGGATGGTGCTCAGAATGCTAATCTGGGACTATCAGGATGTCTAAAGCAAGGTATTTGGATCATAGACTTTAGAGCTGCAAGAAACTTAGAGGTCACATAATCAACAATGCCCCCAATTACACAGATCAGGAAACTGAGATCCAGAGTGAAATAACTTTTCTCAAAGGCACAAAGGTAGTGAGTAGTTCAGTCATGAAACCTGTCTTCTAACTCTGGATCCAGTAGTCTTTCCACTTATACTATATTATCTAGGGATCTGCCACTCCCTCGATCCAACCCTTATGACATCTTAAGAGTATTAAGTAAGGGGGTCAGGGTGTCTCTGTGACTATATGTGATCACCTACTCCTGAACAGGAAATCAGTTCCAAATGTGTCTTCCTTTCCCATGTCAGGGCTCTGGCTTGACTTCACTGAGAAATGACTCTGATCTGGTTATTTTCCTTCCCTCTGAGCTTTGGACTGGGGAGAGCTCTGTGCCTTTACAGCTGTCCCTAGACTGGGACAGACCATACAATCATGGAATTTGGAGCTGAAGATAAATTTGAGATAATCTTATTCAAAACTACACAGGTAGTAAGCAGAGAAAGAATTTGGATCTATCTTAGGTCTTCAAATCCAGTGCTTTTTCTCCTAAATGGCAACATAGGATGACCTTTTTAAGGACCTGCATCTCAACTTCATTCTGAAGACTTCTGACCTGTGGCTACTGGTCCTGGTTCTCCTTGACCTTTGAAACCTCTCTGTTAATTTCATGTAATTAGGAGAAACTATAAGGGCAGGGTTCAGAGGGAGCCAGGCTGAGTAATTTCAGATTATGTTAAAAGTTTTGTTTTCAAACAAAGACATTGTACAGAGATTGTAGGGAGAAAGAAGTCATTACAAATTTTAGTTTTTCATAAAGTTACAGCCCAGGGATTTGGACCCAGAAGATACGGATGCAAACCCCAGGTCTTCTTACCATTTACGTGACCTTGGATAAGTCATTCCCATTCCTCAACTTCCGTTTTCCTGTCTATAAAATGAGGATGGAGGAGGATCTTTAAATATCTATTCTGGTTCCAAGTCTGTGATCTATGGTCTATCATTCATAACCCTTTCCAGCTTTTTTCCAGAAAAGGAAAGTATGTTTCTTCATGTGTGTGTATATGTGTGTGTGTCTGTCTGTCTGTCAGGGGTGTGGCGAGTTTGAATAATATGGACATAGTGGATGGGAAATTATACAGGAGGTAAAACGTCAGCCTAGAAATTGGAAAATGGGGATTAACAACTGGAAGGGAAAACAGTGGTGGAAAAGGGAGAAAGAATTTAAGCTTTTCCAGCTCCATATGGGGTAACTGCAGGAAATCTTTCCATGTCAGTTAGTGGACCCAAGGTCAAAAAAAACTCGAGAAACCAGCCCAGCCAGCAACCTTAGTGGATAGGTGAGAAGGACCCTCTCCAGAAACTCCCTGCTGCCCTGCAGTTTAATGTAGAAGTCTTGCCATCACACCAGCCATGGGGCAGATGCAGGGACCAGGAAGAGTCCAGAAAGAGGCTGTCCCCTTCACTTCTAGTACTGTTTTTTCCAGTAAACCCCTTTGTCATTCTTTCGTGTCAGTATGCTTCCAAAGGAGAGATGAAATAAAAGACAAAACTGAGCCACCACACCCAAGGGATCCACCCCCAGCCCACCATAATAAGGGGTGTGAGCCAGCTCTGGAGAACTAGGAGATAGGATAAACCCTGCTAAGAAAGTATAGCTTTTACAGTGTTTTCTGTAAGTAGAGAGTGCAAGGAATAGCACCTCCATTTTTACATCTAAGGACACCGAGGCTAACTGCTTCTCTGTGGTCACTTGGCATAGAAACACAGAATAATAATAATAAATAAGAACTCGCATTTACAATACACATTATGATTACCAAGTACTTTGCTCACTGCAAGTCCTTAGCAGGCAGCTGGTATTGTCTCCATTTTACACAAGAGAAAACTGGAGCAAAACTAACTTGCCCAGGTTCACACAACCTAAGGTGAGCAAACCTTCTACCAAAGTCTGCAGACTCAAGTACAGTGTTGTTTCGCAAGCAAAGGTCGTTTCCCCCCTGCACTCCCGAGGAAAGAAGGAAGTACTCCACACAAGTTCTCCATGACCTCCTGGTCCCTGACTCTTATAGCATCCCCCCAACTTTGTGGTCTTTCTCCCCACCCCACCTTCAACCAACACACACACATACACACACACACACAAGAAGGAGTAATACTGGAGTGCTGGTGAACAACTTCTTGGGCTGCAGAAATGCATTTTCGAGGGAAAAATGCTTCATTTTAACTTTAAAAATGTCTGCAGTTTTACTTTAAAGAGTGTCGTGAGGCCTGTATGGGACAAATAGTAGAATGGCTGTATGAACGACTAAGAAGCTCTTGGCAATGAGATTGGCTCTGGCAAGCAATCCGGCAAATTTAACCTAAGAATCTTTCTTCTCTCCTCACCCTCTTAATAGCAGAGGCCTGGGGACCCTGGGAGACAGAGGAAGCAAGGACAGTCTTGGCCTGGTTTATACTATTTCGGATATGGTCGCTGAACGAAAAGTAATGTGACGGTAATACTGAAAAGAGCGCTGGATTTCTGGAGGCTCAAGACCTGCGTTCTAGACCTGTATTTACCTTGTACCTGTTTGACCTTCTGTGTTGTTCCCTCCCTGGGCCCTCAATTTCACCCTGTAAAAAGATTTTTTTTTTGGTGGGGAGAGATAAAATGACCTTTAATGTTCTTTAAAATTCTAAAACCTCATGATTCTCCTGCACTTTCCCTGTGTTAACAGCGTGGAATCGGGATCCTTCAGAGTTGGACTGTCAAATCATACTCCTAGTAACATAAAAGTATGGTAGGAAATTTTGACGACTGACGTCCTCAGTCTCCTAGAAAACGTCAGGTAATGCTCCGCAACCAGAAAATACTTTTCGTAGATTTTAGAGTAGGGGGAGGTGAGAAGATATCTTAGAGATCATCTAGTTTTTAAATTAGATCGTCATTTTATAGGTGAAATCGAGTCTTTTAAATAGATGGGATTGAAAGAAAATGGGTCCGCAAGACAGAGAGAAGTAACAGCTCACATTTTTTCTGAGCGTTGAAGTTTACAAAGGGTAACTCATAACCCTGTGGGGTAGACGGCGCAAGCCTTTTGATCGCGCAGCCAGGCTGTGTCGCACCCGGGATTGGAAGCAATCTCCCAGCCCCGCGCACTTTTCACTCCCGGTCCTGCTTTATTCAATCTCACTCCTCACGCTTTTCTCCAAAGCTCTTCCCCCGCCCCGCCACTCTCATCCCCACCCCCGTTCAGGTTTTATTAACACTCAGGCAGACTCCCAGAAGTAGAAGCCCGAGGGTATTTTGGCTCCAACCTCGCCTTACTCCTAACTGGCCGGATCCTTTTCCAGCTCTGTACCCCGGGGCTCGCCCAACTTGAAGGAGGTTCGGTATAAGAATAAGCGCGCTAGACTGGCCATCGGGACGTAAGTTCGAACACTGGCACCACCTCATTTACTGGAGTAGTTAAGAAAGGCATTCTCCACCCCTACCTCAGTTGACTCATCTGTAAAATTAAGTTAGACTAGAAGAGCCTGAGCACCCCTTCCAAATCTGTCCTATGATAATTTTTCTGGGCCTCAGTTTTCTCATCTGTAAAACGACTAAACGAACCCTTCCAACTTTAACCCATGATCCTCCCCTCCCTTCCCTTCCTTCCTTGTACCCACTCCTCCAATACACACTCACTTGGCGGTGGGGAGTATCTGCCAGCCTCCTGAATCCAGGACGTCCCGTCCTCCGAGTTCTCCGACTTGACCGAGGACGTCTCAAAGGTTTTTGTAAGCAGCCCGGGGCTGTGAGCTTCCCTGGCGCCGTGTCCCGGCAGCAGCATGGTCCTAGATGTGCCTTCGCTGCTGCCACCGCCGCCGCCGATGCCTCCACCTCCCCCTGGCAGGGAAGACACGTCTTTAGGAGGCTTCTTGTCGGACATGAGCGCCTCCACACTGAAGGGCAGGCTAGACACTTTGACCCTGCGATCCTCCGAGCCCAAGTCCGCGATCACCGCCGGCGGTGCCGCGGAACCCTCTTCGTCCGAGGAGAAAACCTCCTTCGCTTTAGAAGGAGAAGCCATGACTCCGAGCACCCCAAGGTTTAAACCCTTTCCCCCGTGGGCCGCGCAGGCAACCTCCGTGCGCGCCGCGGCTGCCGCAGTTCGCTCCCTCTCTCTGCCCCACTGCAGCTCCGGATGCACCGACTCCACTTCCAACCCCGCAGCTGCTACTCAACTTTTGGGGGGGGGTACGAGCGGGGGGAGTAAGGTTGTTGTCTTTTCCTCCTCTGGGAAGGTGAATAAAGCCGACGCAGCCAATCCCAGGGGACTACTGCCGTGACGTAATGATAGATCGCTTCTGATTGGCTGACCAGAGTGGCAGTGGAATTTTTTTTTTTTTGGTTTAAAATAAATTAGGAGTTAATTACAGGAGCAGCAAACTGAGCTGTTATTAGCGATCCCTCCAGGGCTATAATCACACCAACACTGAAAAGTCACTGGGATAATTAAGGCTGATTCTATAAAGAGGAAGCTCACAGAATCCATTTTTTTCCTTCTCTTTTGACCCCACTTTAAAGAATATTCCCCACCCTTTCCAAATCTGCTCAGGGTTTTAGGATTTTAGAGCTGGAAAGGTATCTTTTAACATAAATTCTTAGAACTGGAAGGGATCTTAGAATATGGGATGTTAGAACTGGAAGGAACAGTAGAAATAGGTCACCTAGTACAACCCTTTCGTTTTGCAGCTAAGGAAACTGAGTCTCAAAGATGGAAAATCTTTGCCCAAAGTCAAATGAGTAGTAAAAATGGTTGGAACTTAAGTAAATTAACTCCAGATCTAGTGCTCTTTCCACTACATCAGCCTCTTGAGCGCAAAAGTCACCTGAACTGCTTCAGAGTTCACTGAACACTAAGGTCTCTTACAACTCAAACGCCTGTGGACTACTCAGTTCCATCTCCTGTACCCTTCTGTTTATGCTCTTTTGACCATTGTTCCCTGCCTGCAATGGAGAAGGAATATGGGAATGGGATGGAGTGTTAAGGAATGTGGTAATAAGATTTTAATACTGTCATCATCCGTCTTTATTGACAGGCATTCGAGTCCTTTCCATGTGCAAGGCACTGTCTTGATGCTGGGGATAAAAATAAAAAGCTTAGCAGTCCAACTGGAGAGACAGTGTTTACATACGAGTCAGAATAGGCACAATGTCCAATATATGGTAGGGACAAGAAATGCTGTAATCACTATGAGCACTGGCAGTTCGAGGATGCTTCCAGGAGGTTGCACTTTTATCTTCTGGGAAAGAGAAAAAGTATGATATCCAGGGTAGTTAGGAGAAGTTCAACCAGAGATACCACCTGCCCTCACACAAGACTTCGACACTCTGAATTGGCCCTGGTAGTCTGTTAGACTCAAAGTCCTCCTTCCCAAGTCTGTCTCTACATGTCTCTGTCTCTTTTTCTCTTCGTCTCTCTGGTTGTTATATCTCAGTATTGAAGACTCTCATTAACCTCCTTCCCCCTTCCCCAATAAAACAGAATATAAGAAGGGCATAATTGCAGAGAGAATTGGGTCCTATATGATGCATTTGGGGCCTTTGTGTCTTTTATGAGAACATGCTTCTTTCAATTACAGGTTAGAAAAAAGCAATAGATTTTCCTGTTTCTGATAACTATTTTGTCCCATAGTTATGTAGTGGGAGCTACTTTGATTAAAGTTTCCTGGGAAGTGGGAACAGTATAAGGGATTCCTGATATGGCTCCTTGACAAGAGCTGGGTTTAGGAAAAGGCAGAATTCCATCAGGTATAGAGAAGATAACTGTATATTTTAGATATACTATAGTATTCCATATGCACTGTACATGTGTATGTAACCAATAGTGTCATGGAGAACATGATGAAACTGTCATTAGAAAACCAGGACCCAGCTCTTGGTTCTGACACTGCCTCAGTTCGGACAAGTCACTTCACATCTCTTGGATTCATATGTAAAAATGGAATAATAAAACCTGCACTATTTACCTTAGTGTTGTTTTGCTGAAAGCACTTTTTAAACCTCAAGATGTTAGAGAAATATGGGTTGTTACCATTATAAGAAAGACTGTATGCCGCTGCTTTCTTCTCAAATCCTGGCCAAAGGATACTAGCCTAATGGGCACTTTGAGGAAAACAGGAATTTGTTGTTATTTTGATTCAGACAAACAATGATTTCTCAGGTGGCTCTGTCTCTTTTTGCGTGGGCTTAAGATATAATGGTTCTGTATGTTGTGCAATGACTAGTTTCCTACTCTATATTTTGCAGAGTTGTTCGCTTTTCTGTATGAAAAGCTCAGGCCTTTTGCAGCCCAAGGTTTCTATCTCAGTCGGCCCTCTCAAAGCCCTCAGATATGTGTCTGAGAAAGTTTTTGTCTCCTAAAGGCTGATTTAGGCCTTTTTACTGAGGTTAGGCCAGCAGGGAACCTGGGTTGCACTGACTTCTTTCCAATGTCTGTATCTTCTCTACCTTCAGGAGGGCTGTAAGCTATTTAAACACAGTTGGAAAGAGGTAATCAATACTATCCTCCCCGCCATCCAGCCCCAACACCACTGGCTGTGAGAAACCACAGCCTCCTTTTACAATTTTCTCAAATCATGGAGAAAGTTTTTTTTTAAACTCGTAAAGGATATCAGGAAATGTCTAAATTCATAATTAGTTGTAGTTAATTTGATGTGAATCTCAATGTCCTGTCAAAGTCCAACTTGGAGATTAAGTTATATAGGATAATTATTAAATTAGGTAAGGGAACTGGGAAAGGTAAAACATTAAAAAAAATTTTGCAAGCAAAGTTGAAATTCTTTGTTGTTGTGTGACTAACATTTATCAATATTTTATTGGGGGGGAAGTAATTTCTTCCCTAGAACTTTTGTATGTTCACTTTTTCTTTGTGATTGTTACCAAAAAGAGTTAATATTCATCACTTTTAAACATGTTATCTCAGCATTTTCCTATTAAAGAGTCCATTGGATCTTTTTAAATGGTCTGAAAATGTACTTGAGTAGTGAGGCATTGATTCTATAACCTTTTTTTTTTCTTCTAGTTTTCTAAACTATCTGGAATGGCCCCGATTCAGATTCCTGCTCTTGTGGGAAAATAAATAATGAATTACTTTTGTGAACCTGAAAACAGTGCAATGTGCATATTCATCAAGGATCTAAGTGCTATGATGTGTATATGTGTGTGTATACTGAAGACCATGCAAATACACATAGGCAGATAAATTGTAATTCATAATAAAATCTTAGTAATCCAGCTATCCTGTACCTGGACTGGGAATTTTCTGGTTTGGCTATTTACTATCTGTGTTATCTTGGGCAAGTCACACTGGGTTCTCAGTCTCCTCATCTGTAAAATTGAGGGGAAGAATTCCTAGAGCTTCCTTACAAGCTCTAAATCCTATGATCCTACACACATATCATCTTAGAAGTCCTAGCCGATTAACCTATGTTCACCAACGTGAGAATAAAGCAGAGGAAGAGAGAATAGCCTTCAGGCCAGTTTTTTTTTTTTCCTGGGCCACAGGGGATTATTGCAGTATGGTAAAGCATACTGACAGTAACTTCAGAGTCACCTATGCAATCAGCGTCTGAATTAAAACAGCACATTTGTTGCTATTTATTACCAAAGAAACTAGGTAGGGTCTTTTCCAGCTCTAGTTCTTATTTTTCCTACCTACAAAAAGGAGGAATTATACTACATTATTTCCAAGGCCCTTCTCTCCCATAAACCTATCAATCTAATACAACTCCATCATTTTAAGGATGAAGGAAATGAGGCCTAGAGTATCTTGCCCAAGGTCACATAGTTTTAAAGTTATTGGAGAGGGTTTGGGAGCCCACGTTGTCTGACTCCAAGTCTAGGCCTCTTCCCACTGCGCTTTGCTGCCTGTGGAAGTGGGCTTCAGATTTGTCACCAAGCCCTACTGCCTCCTAAACTTGGATAAACCACTTTCCGTCTGAGGCTCTTTCTTTCCATCTCTAAAATAAAGAAAGGGATTTTACTAGAACCAAGGTTCTTAACCTAGGGCAATCGAGTTGTTTTTTCTCAAAAATATTTTGCTAACTGTATTCCGGTATAATTGGTTTCATTTGTAATCCTATGCATTTTATCTTACGCAGCTAAAAACAATATTCTGAGAGGGAACCTCAAGGCTTCACCAGATTATCCAAAGGGTCCCTGACACAGACAAGGTTAAGAATTCCTTGGACTATATGATCTTGTAAAGTCCCTTCCGACTCCAAATTCTCTGATTCATCCTTTAACTGAGTCTGTGTCGCCTCGGTTCTCTACAAGTTTTCTTCCTTTCCCTTGTGCACCCTGTTCTCTCTGGACAGGGAACCCGACGGTTGGGAAGTCCTCATCCAGTTCCCTGGAAGGGCTGGGAATAGGAGGAGTGCTGAGGAGGGAGGGAGAGGAGGGCAGAGGCGGGGAGAGGGGAAGCCGGGAGGGGAGAGGAGAGAGACTTTGCAGACGAGCTGAGGCTGTTTGCCGGCGCCAGGAGCGGGAAGATGAAAGGGAAGCTCCTGGGGGAAGGGGCTGTGCTGTTTGACCGGCTCCAGCAGCCGCGGCGGGGCAGTCCCAGGCAGCCCCGCCCCCACCCCTTCCCCAGGGCAAGAGCTGCCCCATACCCACGCTGGCTCCTTCATTTTTGCTGCTACCACAGCAAAGGCGAGGGACGGAATTCGGCTGCCGCGGAGGCGGCTGCACCCGGGGCTTCGTAATTGCGATAGGCATTGCTATCTACACTTTAATGACCAGAACAACTTCGCTCTTGATTACACCCATATTAATAACAATAACCATAATGGGCTTGTTATTAACAGTGCTTAATAGAATTGATGTGAATGCCTCCGGACCTATCTCCCTAAATCACCTTGCCAATGTTCCTGGTAACAACTCCCATTTCTATAGCTCTTTAAGTTTTACAAAGCGCTTTCCTCTCTCCTAGCTTGTGAAGAAAGTAGTACAAGTGTCTCCAAATTATAAATGAAGAAACTGAGGCTTGGACTGGGAAAGTGATTTACCAAGAATTAGTTTGAAAGTACCTGAGCTCTGATTTGAACACAGAACTGCCAACTTCGAGTTGATGGCTCTCCCACAAGTTCCTAGAGCCTGGCATAGAGACAGAAGGGTACCCCTTCTACGGTCCCTTTCATAGTACCTCAGGGGTGAAAGTATGTTAAGGGATGCGGAGAGGAAAACTAGGGCGAAGAAAGGTCACTAGAGTTAAGTAAGTGTC